CACAGGACAGGGCCCTTCTCTGTCTCAGACCCTCACGGGGTCACCAGGACAGAGTGACAGCACTCTGCCACCTAAGGAGCCAAAAGCTCTCAGCCCAGCAGGTGGCATGGCGGTAGAGGTGGTTGAACTCCCACACGGTCAACCACGATTCGGGTCCTGGCCCTGGTGGCTTGCCTTATCTCTTTCTCTCTGTCTCTTTCTGGTGAGCACGTGTGCCCTATAGCTAAATAAATAAATAAATAAATAAAATTGGGACTAGCAGATGGAGTAATGGTTATGTCACTGGATTCCCACATGGCTGACCATGGTTCAAGTTCTGGATCCAGTGACTTGAAGAAACTCAGTCAAAGCGCATGTGTGTGCGTGCCCAAAATCCCGAGAGGAGAATGGAGGAGGGAGTGCAGTGTGGCCATCCCCCCAACCCCTCGGAGGTGATTTCTCGCTTTCTGTCTCTCCTGTGAGTGCAAGCGCCCTATAGCAAGAATCTCTCTACAAAATGATGATGATGATGATGAAATTAAATAAATAATTCTTAAAAAAAAAAGAGTTGTCTGACCTTGGGGGCAGGGTGGACGGAGGCCCATCTGGGTTTGCAGCAGACACTGCCCGGGCTCCTCAACCCTGGGGGTTTCCTCCTCTAGTCTTTACCAAAAATTTAAACTCGGCAATTTGACCTCCTTCTGCCCAAAGTGCCCACGAGTCCACTACATCCTGGAGGTGTGAAGGAGAAGGACCTGCATCCTCCAACCGGTTCCACCACCGTACCTGGCCTGAGGCCAATGCCGCCCTCCGCAAGGTCCCCCCGCCGGCCATTGGGAGTGACCACCGCTCCACCGCCTTCTCCTCTTCACCTTTTTTTTTTGGAGAGGTTTTTGCTACAGGGCGCGTGTGCTCACCAGACAGAGAGACAGAGAGACAGAAAGCGAGAAATCACCCCTCGGGGGATGGCCATGCTGCAATCCCTTCTCCTCTGTTCTCCTCTCAGGATCTTGGGCACGTAGGCACACGCACCCGGCGTGAGTTTAAGCCACCGGGTCCGGGACACGAACCACGGTCGATTACGTGGGAGTCCAGTGACATAGCCATTACGCTAACTGCTGGTCCCCCTCCTCTTCACTTTTTAATCCTAGCTCTATCATTAAACTCCCTGCCAGGGAGCAAAGTGCTTGGCTTATTTGACCCCTTTCTTTTCCAGGAATGCAGGCGTCCCGAGGCCGGGGTGGCCCGCTCCCTGGGGCACACAGAGCATGCACCCGGCAAATGCCCCCTCCACATGCGCCTTCACCTGCGGCCGCTTGACAGCTCTGAATTCACCAGGCATACTGCAGGTGTCTGCCCGAGATTTTGCATTATTAAAAATCCTTGGCTTTTCAAAAGCTAAAATCATGCCACACTTAAAAACATACACAAACCAAATTCTTTACTGATCTAGACCAGAACTTCCACCCTACTCTCTAGGCTGAATTTCTAAAAAAGGCTACACCTTCGGAACACAGCACGTAGGCAGCGGCCGACGGGAGGCTCCGAGATCCCGGCCCCTCTGCATGCCCACTCACTGCCCAAGAGCACAGTGCACCAGGCCCTCGAGCTGTCGCCACGGAGCCTGAGAGTCTGCTGTAAACACTAGTTTAATTTCAAATCACTGAGTAACTGCCCATGAAGCAGAAGTCAAGAGTTTAGGAACAGCAGGGGGTGCTTTCAAGAAAGAAAAGACTTCCACAAGCAAAGCTGGGACTTGCTGACTTTAAATCCTGCTGGACAGCCCGGCTGTGGGGTAATGCCGCAGGCGGTTCTAAGCGGCTGAGTGCTGCCAGGCGGTGCCCAGCCCGGGGTCAAGAGACGGCCCAGTACAGCGCGTAGCCCGGGTTTGCCTCTGTGCTCAGCACCGCAGCCAAGAACGAGGCAGGGGATCCGGGTCCTCCCCTCTGTCATCCTGGTCAGGGTCAGAACGCTGCAAGGATGACAGAATTTCTTCCCGTGGCACTGTTTTATCAGATTTCTGAGGAAAACAATGTCCATCCATTCTATGGAACTACAGTTTTCTGCACACACGTCTTAAGTGTTTGAAGCAAACCCCAGCTGGAAGTTTAAATGTTAGCCGAGCGCTAAAACCAAAACGAAAGCCCACAAATCTTTGCGGCTATTAGCTAAGGACCGATACTCTTCCAAGTTCAAGATGCCAGAGCGGCCCAAAGCACCCCTGGCCTGCAGCGCAGCCTGCTGCTAGCCCTTCCCCCACCACGCCCGGTCACACACCGGATCTCAGTGCGGTCTCGAACACTCATTTAAGATGTAAAATGGAAAGCAGTAACCCGTGTGAACTTACAGGCGCCTTCTTGTCGATGGGCTTAATGACAAACTTTTTGTCATTGAAAGAGATGTTTCTGATTTCACTCCAAGGGAAGCCAATCTTTGGGGTCAACCTGGGGTTTAAAAAAGAAGTGGAATGATTAGAGATTGATATATGGATGTTTGTTCAGATTGGCTAAGAAACATTTATAAATTTCTTCAATTTGACTAGTTAAGTTTAAAAACAGCAAGTTACCCCAGGAAGCAAAATGTATGATATAGACGATCATCAAATATCTCTACCTGCCCCCAGGTTGGGCCGAGGGGCTGCTTTAAGGTATGTGTGATCCCAACACGTTCCATTTAGTTCTCAGTTTCAGGCAGCTGATGGCACCCACCTGCCTAGGCTGAGCACCTTGCTGTCAACTGCACTGCTAACGGGTGCACCCACCCTTCCACCCTGCGTGGCATCTCTCTAAGGCATTTCTCGGCAGGTCATCCCCATGTCAGGCCCCCTCTCAGGACTTTGGACACACATGCACATGTACCCAGTGTGAAATTTAAGCGGCCAGGTCCGGGACTCGAGCCGCAGTCAACTACATGGGAAGTGCAACAACGTAACCATTACACCATCTGCTGGTCTCCCATATCAGACCCCTAACCCCACCTCTCAACTGCCAGGGCTAACCGAGGTCCTAGCTGCCGGAAGCCCTACTAGCAGCCTGCCTGCCTGCCTGCTTTTCTTACCCACCTTCTCACCTCTTCAGATATGTCAATACAGTCCTTAACTGCAATCCAACCTAAACTTACTGGTTCAAACCCACACTAGATTCCCGGCTGTCACCTCTCTCACCCCAGTCCTCTGCCTGCGGTCTCTTCTGCTTAGGCCAACCATTCTCTCAGTGCTATTCAAGTAGAGATGCTTGTTGTTGTCTTTTAGTTTTTATTGATTTTTTGTTTTGTTTTTGTTTGGCTAGGTTTTTTTTTTTTTTTTTTTTTTTTTTTTGTTTTTGCCCCAAGGTGTGTGTGCTCACCAGAGACAGAGACAGTGAGAGACAGTGAGGAATCACTCCCCAGGGGATGCAATCCCTTCTCCTCCAGGGATTTTGGGCACACATGCATGCACACCCAGCATGAGTTTCAAGTTGCGAGGTTCGGGACTCCAACCGTGGTTGGACGTGTGGGAAGCCAGTTCCTTAACCCACACGCCACCTGCTGGCTCTCAGGTGAAGGCAGTCACTCGGGGGAAGGCCCCGTCTATTTTCTGCATGGGCTATACCCAGAGCGGCTGCTCGCTAAGGAAACGGACGAGGACTGGGTCTGCATGTTGCTCCTCCGGTTCTCCAGGCCATGTGTGTTCTCCTCGCTGGCAACACCTCCCTGGGTCACCCTCCAATTTCTAAGAAAGCCCTACACTTGCAGGCCACTAGCCAGAGTCTGCTGCGGTCTACTGAATCCACATGAGTCTGCTACTGCCCCAAACTCTGGCTTGTGTGCAGGAGAGACAGACAGAGAGACAGCACCCCAACACGGTCTGGATGCTGTGATCCACCCCCAGCTCCAGCCAGCCCTGGATCACAGGCACGCGCACACCTGGTACACTCCGGGAGGTGTCCAGACTTGAACCCAGAACCTTCCCATATGGGTTGGCCTTGCAGAGTGTCGTGTTTTGCCACTGTGCCACCATCTGGCCCCAAACTCAGGCTTCAGTGAACATTCCCAGGAAGGTGCTTCTCATGGGTTCCAGACCATGCCGCTGTGTGCACATGCGTCCTGCCCTGCCTGGTCTCTGCTTCCGCCTCCCTGTTCCTACAGCCCATCTTAACAGAGATACCACCACCCTGGAGGTATGACAGACCTTCAGACCACCGTTCAGACTGCCGTTAAGCGCAGTTCTTTCCCACACTCCGTAACAACTTTCATTTCCGACAACAGCAGAGTGAGCCTGTTGTTTTTCAACAGGTTTAAATAAAAACTGATGGGCAATGAAGGCCTTGCTATGACCAGCCAGGCCAGGGCAGACGTGGGTCTGAAGGCTGAGGGTCTAGTCCGATAGATGGCTCTCCTGCAGAACAGCGCCAAGGCCCCCGCGGGAACGGCCAGGCACTGCTGCTGTTTCCGACATCAGCGCTTTCTGGCCGATACCCTGTCCTACTGCACTGTCCTAGAGGGTCACCAGTCCCTGCAAACACACATCTGGCTGCCATGCTTCACAGCACTCCAACGAGACACGCAGCGTCTGTTCTGTTATCGTCACATGCGGGACCCTGGACTTGCAGAAAGTGAAGTTTTATTTACAGACCTCAGAGCACAGAAAAGAACTTCCGGACATTGACCCAGTTTAACCTGGTGAGGCTGAGTGTGCCACAGATGGGCATCTGATGCCCTGGCACATCCCCGCTCCCAAACAAGAACAATGGGTGGGTCACGACAAGGGAGCGAGAACCATGCTGCAGCCCCTTGTGAGCCAGGACCCTGACTCCTGAACACCGGAGGCGAGGACTTGGTCTCTGGGCCCTGTCCTGGAAGGGCCTCTCCTACCGGCTTCTGACCCTCGAAAATCTAGGCCTTCAAGCACAAGAGAACTGTCTTCCAACAGCTGGACACGCCATGGCCTCTAGCCCTCTGCTTTCTGGTGTGTCTGTAAAGTTTGTCTTTTTAAGACTTTGGAATCTCATATAACAATTCAGTCACTCATAAGCATAATTGCAGTATCGAAAGACGAGGGATGACCAAGGAAGTTATGACTCACTTCTGAGTTAAAGAACTTCCTTTAACGCTTGACCATAGTTGCAAAATTACAGCCTACGGATTTCTTTTTCCTCTTCTTTCAGGAGATCACATACAGGACAACAGAGGGCTGCAGGTTATATTCTTTTTTTTTGAGAGGTTTCTGCTATAGGGCACATGCGCTCGCCAGACAGAGAGAGAAAGCGAGAAATCACCCCCAGAGGGGATGGTCACGCCACAATCCCTTCTCCTCCTGGGATCTTGGGCACGCACGCATATGCATCTGGCGTGCGTTTAAGCCACCGGGTCCGGAACTCGAACCGCGGTCGAGTACGTGGGAGTCCAGCGACATAGGCATTATGCTAACTGCTGGTCCCTGCAGGTTATATTCTAATGTCCTTGCCTAGGTTAGACAGGGGCCCGCAGGGGCCATGGCGGTTAAGGTGCTGGATTCCCACACAGCCAACCGCAGTTTGAGTCCCAGACCCAGCCCTCAAAAATCACACGGCGCATGTGTGTGCATACCCAAATTCCAAGGGGAGGAGGGACTGTGGTGTGGCCATTCCCCAGGAGGTAATTTCTCACTGTCCCTTTCTCTGTCACTCTCCGGCGAGTGCACATGCCCTATGACAAAAACTTGTAAAAAAAAAAAAAATTAAAAATGGGATTTTGCAATAAGAAAAATCCAAAGTCTTTGGAGAAACGGCCAATTCCAGGGTTGGTGAGGAAGGCACAGAGTGAGCCTGGACATCCTGAAGTGCAGGAGAGTGAGAAAGTGCTCAAGGGTGGTGCCCCATCAAGAGGCACGGACGCCCCTCAGAGCGCTCCCAAAAGCCAAGCATGAGGACCAGCAGTTAGTGTAATGGCTATGTCACTGAACTGCCAAGTAGCCAACCGCAGTTCGAGTCCCGGACCCAGTGGCTTACACTCACGTCGGGCGTGTATGCATGTGTGCCCAAGATCCTGAGAGGAGAATGGAGGAGAGGAGATTGCGGTGTGGCCACCCCCCTGGGGGGTGATTTCTCGCTTTCTGTCTCTGTCTTTCTCTGTCTGTCTGGCAAATGTACACGCCCTATAGCAAAAACCTCTCCAAAAAAACAGTAATAAAAAAGCCAAGCATCAAACAATTTGGGAATAAAATAAACAACAATATGAACAGATTACAAACCAAAGTCTAAAACACCCATAAGTTCATATTAGTACACACAACTGAGTAAAAAAAGACACTGGCTCCTTAGGGAAGGATTCCAGTTAATTCACGTAAAGTAGAATTTTTAAAAATTGCAGTTCTCAAATACCACAAGAACTGCCAGAGCTTCGCCGGTGATAAGACAGACCCGCATCACATGCGACCCCCTGCGAGCCCTGGCAGGGCATGACAGCACTTTTGTGGAGTTCTGGCCCAAAGTGTAAAACTTGAATTTAATCGTGAGAAAACATCAGGCAAATAAACCCAAACCGAGGGGCCCTCCAAAACGCCTGTGGCCAGTACTCAGATCATCTCCAGGTCACGAGAAAGACTGGAATGTCCCGGATGGACAGGATCGAGAGGGTGCCACGACTAAGGGAGTGCCTCCTGCCAGGACCCGGGCGGGACGGGCTGTCTCTGGGCCCCGATCGAGGGCGCTGCAGTCCATGGCTAATCGTCTCAAGGCTCGTTTCCGATTCTGGAGCTTAGACCAGGGTCGCACAAGCACTGATGTGGGGAGCTGGGAGGGGCGCATGGGGATGCTTGGCGCTGTTCTGGGAGACTTGCAAAGCTGAACCGGTATCCAGGTGTATCCAGGTGAATGAACGGTAAAAATTCAAATTCAAAATGTGCAGGGGAGGGGGTGGTAATGGTCTAATCTTGAAAGGATTTGGGGCTTTACAGGCGTACTTGCCAAAACTCAGCCAAAGGACACTTCAGATAACGGTCCATTGTATTTAAATTTTCCAGGAGAAGAAGACTGAGTACTGGGTTCTAGTAAATGACCCGCACTGTTTGTCTGGGGGAAGGCAGAGGGCTGCCTACAATTTACTCCGAAATGTATCCTAGAAGGGCCAGGGATGGGCCAGCAGGTGGCAGGAAGGCTAAGCACTACATCCCACATGGCCGGCTGCACGGTTCACGCCCAGGACCCAGTACGCCCGAAACCCTGACAGGAGAACGGAGAAGGGACTGCAGTGTGGCCATCCCTCGGCAGGGGATGATCTCTCTCCCTCTTTCTCCCTCTCGCTGTCTCTCCAGCAAGTGCACACACCCTATAGCAAAACAAAACTTAAAAGCCAGGGCCAGAGGGCTACAGTGGCCGTGGACGGAGGGTCACTATAAGCAAGTTCGGTCCGAGTGACTGTACTTACAGGAAAAAGCCTTTCCATGACTGGTTCTGATCTCCACCTGGCCCACAGAGCCCACCAGGGCACCCTCCTCCTCACAGTGCCGCAGCCCTGAAGCCCGGGCACTCGGAGGGACTCCTGCCTCCGGGACGGTCTTGATGGGGTCGGCCACCGGGCAGGACCAGGTTCCTCTGAGTTTGGGTTTTTGTGTTAACCCAGTTAAACTGAACTTCTCTGTTCGGACAGCTCAAATGGCTGCCGAGAAGGTGCCTGCCTCTCTCCTCCCCTCCAGCCCCTCCTCTCCCGCCTGTGCTGAGTTCACAAACGAGACAAACGCTCTTGTCCTACGTGCTCCTGCTCATCCGTGCAGTCCTGGGAGAGGCGGGACCTCGAGAGACATCTCCTAGCCAGAGCCTGTTCAACACCCGGAGAGGAAGGGCTCTCCCGAAAGGCTTCCTGTATTGTCACAGCACGCTGTCCCACACAGCCCGCAAAGGCCACCTACCAGATCCTCACGTGGGCAGGGAAGGGGACACGGCCCCACTGGGAGTTCTGCTAATGAGAACGAACGCCCTCCCAGAGCAGTCCTCGGGCTTAACCAGCCTCACCCGCTCACACGGCTGCCCGAGTTGTCAGGGTCTGTCCAGAAGGAAAAGACGGGGGCCTGCTGACTGGCGAAATGTCTCCATGAGTTTTTTTCCCTTGAAGAGAAGGTGTGCCTTCAGGAGGCGGGCCTGCATTTTCTGTCTCTGTCGGAGGAGCCCAGTTTGAGCAAGCTGCCAGTTTCACTGCTGAGCTGGGGGGGGTGAGGGGGGGGGGCAAGGCCAGGCTGAAGGGGCACGCGGCTCCCGTATTCACGTGGAAAGATGAACACCTGTGTGGCCGGGGAGGTTACGCCGACCTCAGCGAGTCCTGCCTCTCAGTGTTTCTCGCAGCTTGAAAAACCTGCCGGGCAGCCTCAGCTGCATGCTCTGTTACAAAACCCGGCCATTCAGAAACCAGAGGTGGTTTCCCAGCCGTGTTCCCACGAGGACAGGGCTTGCTTCTCGGACTGCACGGCATCCTGCACGGCTGGGGCAGCTGCAGGTCTCCAGCCCAGGGGCTTCCGGGGGGTCACGGGCTGGCTCCCCAGTTCCCTTCTTTTCCCAGAGTGTTCTTGCACACTCGGGCAGGAGCAAATCTAGCTAATAACCCTCTTCTGCGTGTCACATGATCCATCCCTGCAGCCCCGGCACGGGCACGAGCCTCCATCCTGCCCCAGCAGCATACGCCTGTGCTCTGGGTCTGGCAAGAGCAACGCGGCTGGGCCTTGGGACGGATTCTGGATGTGCCTGTCATCTGTCCCCTCATTAGCCCAGGGGGGAGGATCAAGGCGTGAAGAGCTGAGGGCAGGGCCACCTGAGAACAGGTGGGGGCCGTGGAGGGTAACACGGGGGAGCCCTGACTTCAAGGGAGACACGTGCCCGGAGGGAACAGGGTGCTCCTCACGAGCGCAGGCACACCCTGGACTCTGGACTCCTGCTCCTCGTGCACGGCGCAGCAACCCAGGCCACGGTGCTGGGCTCAGCATAAAGACCCGGCAGCCCATGCTGCTGCTGTTCTGGGCCAGGTCCCAAACCCGGGGGCCACGGCGGGGCTCACGGAGGGAGCTGCGGTGGACGCTCAGAGCAGGCACAGTAGGCCTTCGCCCACCTCTTCCCAGAGTCGGGTTCCTACTGTCTCTTCAGTTCAGGTGGCCTCTGGCAGGGAGAATCCAGTCTAGGTGTAACCTCTGAGTGTGGGAACACAGAGAGCCCGCCTTCATGGAGCCGGGGTCATCTTTCCTGTGTGAGCGGCCAGCTCCCGGGCAGCGCGGAGGCCCACACGCCATGTCTGTGGCTACTCTGCTGAACCAGCTTGTTTCGGGACTCCTGTTGTCCCAGACCTCACGACACGGAGCCGCCAGGTCCCTCTGCGGGCTCAGGCCATGGCTAAAGCGTTTATTACCAGCCAGAGGAAGGCCGGCGGCACCCAAGTGTCGGGAGCAGCAGGACCCCATGCCAGGCGTCGGCACTGGCCAGCCTGCCAGCTGGTAGTTACACATGGCAGGATCTGTGGAGACCTGGGGCCGGGGAGGGGACAAACTCCTGCTGCTGCCACTGCAGTGTCAGCGAAGCCACTCCCCTCCGTGGGCCCCTCTGCTGTGTCGCACGTGCTAAGCAGGTGACGGTGACAGGAGAGAGGATCCTGCATGCCTCCAGCCCCACCTCCCAGATGCCCACAGCGCAGTCCCGAGTCCCTACAGACTCATGCTCTGGGCTGACACATGGCTACAGGGAAACGTCCAACGCAGCCCATACGCACAACCTCCATGTCCACCACGCCTCCGGGCCTCAGCCCCCAGCTCGACACACGATGCACCACGACTCACCTGTCTTCCTTCTCGTAAATATTTAGTCCAAGGGCATCCACTCCAAGCCAAAGGTCTGTTCCTTTCTTATTTTTTATCTCAAAATAGTTAATTCCGTACATCTCCAGGTCCTGAGCAATCTTCAGGTACTCCAGCATGGCGCTGTCCCTAGGGGAGGTGAGATGGGCCGGTTACTGTGATGCCCGCGACGCCACGTCCACAGCAGCGAAGCCTCCACCAGGCGCCAACAGGAAGGGGACCACAGCGAGGGCCGAACCGTGACCCTTCCCGTCCCAGGCCCAAGTCGGCCGAGCGGGAGGCCAGGGCAGTCCGGAGTGGTGCCGGGAAGGTCCCTGTGCCATCGTGGGCCCTGACCACTGGTTCTGGAAGGACCAACCGACTTGCAAGGGTTTCTCTGGAGGCAGAGGTGGTTCTTTGCCATTTTATATTCCCTGAGCCCTGCGTGCTCCCAGGGGCTCCACCTCCCCTCTGGACAGGCTCTGCTAGGATGCCTAGGCCGGACGGGGAAGGCCCAAATCACAGCTCTGAGGCCCAGGCTGCACGAGCTTCTGAGGTGGGGACAGGGCGGGGACAGGGCAGGAACTGCTGCTGAGGCCTGCAATGAGGCCCCGGGACCATAGGGCCCAGAACCAGGGAACCTGGCCATTCCTTACACTTCACAGCCATGTCCCCGCGGCCCCCATGTCTGGCTACGCTTCTCTGATGTCACGGTCGTCATTCACGTGCGGTTTTGAAGACAACAAATCCTGAACACAACCAGACCAGTGGCTCTCTGACAGAGAGGGGAACGTGGCTCGGACCGCTGCAGAGCCCTGAGGGCCTTGGACAGGAGATTTCCTCTGCTCAAGGAAGGAGAGCGCTCTGAGGACCTGGGACTTAAATTGCTCTTTTCCCAGGAAAGAACACTGGCTTTGCTTACTAAAATAGAAACAAGCCTTCCTTTCCCCAGACCCCACTTCTGGCTGGTGTTATCCTTCAGTACCTCACTAGGCCCCAGGGCTTCACTGGGCCGAAGCTAACCACTAGTCCACACTGCCTGGGGTCTCATGGAAAGACGGCTGGGACGGCTCAGCGTCCACACACTCACTTGAGCATCCCGCGGTGCTCCGCGTGCCACACCTGGATCCGGTCCTCCCACTGGTCCCTGGTGAGTTTGTGCTGGTCCATGACTCTGTGTTGCAAGAGGAGGATACGCGTGTGAGGGGCTAGGCCCACTTCCCACCCACTGTCTAACCCACCAGTCACAGCTTTTGTTCCTAGTTCCCGACGTGCAGCATTCATCACCCAGGAACACCAGCCCCGACGACTTAGCATTTCGAAAGGCAAGCCCAGTCTTGCTGACAGCATTTAAAAAGGGGGCCGGCCCTGCGGCCGGTGGGGCACTGTACCGAAGACGCCAGATCCCAAATGGCCAACCAGGGACCGGGCCTCAGCTGGAAAACACGCCAGGAGCATGCGCACCCAGGATCATGACAGGACAGGGTTGGAGGGAAAAGGACTGTGGCCTGGTCAAGCCCACTGCAGGTGCTTTCCCTCTTACTCGCAATATCCAGCCACCGGGCGTGTCCCAGCGCTTTACTACGCAAAAATGTGTCCTGACTTTCCCGGCGACCCAATATATAGATCCTTTAGGGAAAAAATTGAGAGTTTTTGATTTTAAGTGGCCTTGTCTTCCAAAAGTGGCCGTTTTTGTGTCTGTTAGTGATTAAAGACAGACGTAGCAAAATTATACACCAGGAAGAGCTATCGAGTCAAAGTCGGCGTGACCATGTCAAGGCACCCCCAGGGATGGGGCGCCCCTCCCCTGGCGGTTTCAGGTGGATCGTGGTGCCTGAGAGGAAAGCCGCGCGGCTGTGGACATCCCAAGTCCAGGGCACTCAGGGAAGATCCACCGTGTGGCTGGGAGGGGCCCGTGACCTTGGCACGCCCTTGAGCTCCTCCTGACACAGGCACCTGCATGCGCCCTGCTACAAGGCCTCCCCCTGCCCTTGCCCAGGCCAGGCCGCCTCCGCTCACCTTTGCGGGATCAGCCGCTCTGAGCTGAGGTACCCGGACTTGTGCAGTTCCTTGTTATAGTCTCCGAACTTGGCCTGCACGGCATAGGACCCCAGGAGCACCGCGGTCTCAGGGGGGCAGTAGATCTCGTCGCTGAGAATCCCCTCCTTCACTTGGAGGAAGAAGAGCTTCTGGGTGATGTCCTGGATGAGCTCCTCGGACACGTCCTCGGGGTAGAACTTGGCCCGGAACTTGAACTGCAGCGGGTTCTCCTTCCTCACCTCCTGGGCAGACACCTGTAGCAGACGCCACTCTCATTACACTGTCACAAAGCAGAAGGCCCTTGACACCCCCCCGAGCACAGGGTTCCACCGATGGTTCAAAAGACGACCACGGGGGCTGGTTTTCAGAGGATGCTATTTGTTCTGAAAGTCATCTTTTCGGTGCATTAAGACAAAAAAGGTCTGCCCAAAATCCTACTGCACTCACACTTGACTGGAAATCTCCACCACGGGCCTGCCAGGACACTAGGCCCAGCCCTCGTCTTTCAGAGATGAAGCCATCAGAGCACTCGGACGGGACGCCTGAACCCCCACCCCGGACTGCGGTCCCGGAAGTTGCCAGGCCAGCGTGGCCTGCACGGTGGACCCCATCTAACCATCCCTCATGCTCCCAGACTCGGACCACCTCCAGACACCCCCTGACTCGCTCCAGAGACACAGAGGGGTTTGGGAGAGGGCACAGTTTTTCAAAGAGCTGGACACTCCTGTTTCTTTCTTTGTAATTGCTAATGCAATGATCCCATCTTGAGAGCTGGAAGATAATCGATCATGGGTTCAAACGAGGCAGTAACAGCTTCTTACAAAACAGCGGGTGATTCATGGTTTACAGGATTAAGAATCTCATTGAGGGGAACAAAACCTAAGGTCACCTGTGTCCCCGCCCCATGACGCCACGCCCCAGGTCCCACAGAGATTGCAGCAAGGAAGGACCCCGGGCCCAGTCTCCAACCCACATCTCCAAGAACGGAAACCCACCACCCTGTGTCTGTAAAAACTTTCACGTTTAATAAAAAGCAACGAAAAACAAAAGGTGTTCCCGTTTCAACGGCACCGAAGCAGAGGAACACCCAGTTAAGAGCCTGTAAATAGTTAACTCTGCTTACCTTCTTATCAAGTTTCAGCCAGGTAGGAAATCCTTTATTATCCACATACTGGAGTCCAAAGTACCACACTTCCCGGAGGCCAATAGTCTTCACCACCTGAGAGAGAGACAGGCCCAGTCGTAAGAAGCTCCAAGTCCATCGCAAGGTCCCGCGGGTGCCCGGCAGGAGCGCCGTCTCCCACTCAGTCGAACCCACAGGGCAGCGCGGCCTCTCCTGCACCGTCTCAGCATCCCTGTTACCAGCAGAGGCCATCCTATTGACGCGATGAACGATTTATCTTTAACATAAACCCAGAAAGATTGTTTCCTTTTTTATTATTATTAGGTTTTTGCCATAGGGTGCGTGCGCTCACCAGAGGGACAGTGAGACAGAAAGTGAGAAATCGCCCCCTGGAGAGGTGGCCACGCTGCAATCCCTCCTTCTCCATTCTCCTCTCGGGATTTTGGGTGCGCGCACACACGCGCATACAGGCCCGGTGTGACTTTCAGGCCAAAGGTTCAGGACTCGAACCATGGTTTGCCACGTGGGAGTCCTGCACCTTGACTACCACGCTACCTGCTGGCCCCAAATTTAGTGTTTTCTTAGCTTTCACTCTCCCCTCTGTAGCCCGGGATCCTTTCCAGGGGGAGTCAGGAGTGGGGCTCAGGGAGCTGTGGGTTCTACAGGGCACCAGCAACAGCGTGGGTCCTGGGGTGGGGGCCCCAGAAAAATGGTGGCTGGAGGTTGTCCACGCCGCACCACCTGGGCCTCCACTGACTGCCTCCTGGCCAGCTGGTCCAGGAGTCTGACTCCAAAACAAGGAAGCAGTCATCCTAGGGAAGGAGGTGCCAACTTCCAGGGTGCGGGGGCCGCAAGGCTGGGGGGTGCCGCAAAGCCAGGAGAGCTCCTCTTTACACATGCCGGGGGTGGGCGACTAGCATCCTGGAGCTCCAGAAAGGGGCAGTTCTGACATAGCAAAGGCAGGATCCTGACCCTGGGCACGAGGGTTTCCACTCTTAATTCTCCACAGCAGGGGCCAGCAGGTGGCTTGGAGGTTACAGCACTGGATTCCCACACAGCTGATGGCAGTTCGAGTCCCAGACCAGGGGGCTTGCACAGCACACTGGGCATGTGTGCGTGCATGCCTGGAATCCTGAGAGAACAGAGGAGACGAGACTATGGTTGTGGCCATCCTCCCGGGGGAGTTATTTTTCACTCTCTTGCTTTCTCTAGAGAGCTCATGTGCCCTATGGTAAAAACCTGAAATAAATGCTTTCATTTGTTCATTCACTCTCCGCAGTTAAGGAAGAGTTTTTATGGATTACACAGCCCCAGCTGGCTGCTCCCGAGTGTCCTGCAGACAGAAAGCGACAGCCAAGCTCCCCGTGGGCACCACCGGGCAGAGTCCGGTTCTTTTATGGGAGTGTAAAGATAAAACGCTAGACCTCTAAAAATGTCACCTTCTTCAGGTATGTGGCTTTCGTCACACCGAAAGGGGAGGGGACTGAATGCTCTCGCAATGACGAGCCGGAGCACAGAGCATCTGCCTAAGGGAAACTGAGGATCCAGGTGAGCCCAGGCTGCTTCCTCACCCACGGGATGGGTGCCGGCTACAGCCCGAGGACTCTGTTCACGCGATGCAGAGATTGGCCTGTTGGCACCCTTCCCTCCGCGCACCCAAGAAAGGAGGTCTTCACTGCGGAATGCTGTGGCGGTGTCAGGGCCCCTGCGAGGACTGTGAGGCCCCAGGGCTTACTTCCTAGGAGAGCTGAGTTTGGTGTCAGCGCCTCTGACCCAGCCTGCGTCCCACCCTGCGAGGCTCTCGCTGCCCACACCACCGCGCCATCGGACGCGGGAGACCTGCCTGCCTTCCCCTCTGGTGCCCGCAGTTGCACGAGTGCACCCCTCCATCGCGGGTGCTCGCCCTAGTCCATCTCTCCACTTCGTCCACCCCGCAGTGGCCCAGCCGGGACCGAGCTCAGTGGCAATCACTTCCCACCCACCCGACTGCCCTCCTCCGTGGGTGACCCCGATTTCCAGGGCCACGGTCCAGAGTGGTGTTCTGCACCTGCGAGGACACAGCCAGCCCCGACGAGCCTCAGACTGTGGGACCGTGCAGTGCAGTCGGCTCCCGTCCCCTGCCCGTTTCCAGTACACTGCGCTCTGCGTCCCTGCTTCCCAGGCCTCCCTGTCACTCACTGCGCTTTTCCCAGGCGACTTTCTTTAGTTCATCTAAAAATTGGCCTATAGGTCCTACCAACAAGGGATCATCCGGCAATCCTCGATGTCTTTGGCTTAACCCAGGGCTGTGAGAGCCTGGTGGGCGCCCTCGGCCGGGGCTGGGTCCGCCTCTTCAGCTCTGCCTCTGAGGTGTTTCAAGTGGTAGGTTTGTAGAATGGAAGTAGCAGGGACATCCCCGTCACACTGGAGGGACAGGGAGGCCCCTTCCCCACACTGAGCTAGGAGCTTAGGGGTGGCTGGGCCTGGTTGGCTCCGGCGGGGCCTGCACTGCATCCAGCCCAGATCGGCTCCCTGTGGCAGGTGGCATCTGTGACGTTCTTGCTCAAGCCAGTGCCTGGATGGGATCTACACGGGGGTGCATGGGAGGGTGCACAGGCACACCCAGTCCTGCACCAGGAGGGTGCAGGGCTGCAGAATAGATCTAGGAGACAGATGGGACAGGGAGGAGGGAGGTGACTCCCCGGGTCCCCTTCACCTATTCCACTCAGCGTGGCGGGCAGGGAGGAGGGAGGTGGCTCCCCGAGTCCCCTTCACTTATTCCACTCAGCATGGCGGGCCGGGAGGAGGGAGGTGGCTCCCCAAGTCAGCAGGGATGAGGGAGGTGGCTCCCCGAGTCCCCTTCACTTATTCCACTCAGCATGGCGGGCAGGGAGGAGGGAGGTGGCTCCCCGAGTCCCCTTCACTTATTCCACTCAGCATGGCGGGCAGGGAGGAGGGAGGCGACTCCCCAAGTCCCCTTCACTTATTCCACTCAGTGTGGTGAGCAGGGAGGAGGGAGGTGGCTCCCCGAGTCCCCTTCACCTGTTCCACTCAGCATAGCCAGCAAATGGGCCTCCCACCAGAAGTGTCTCGAACTGCGATCAGTTTACCCGTTTATCCCAGAGCTCCCAAGAGCTTCCATCCCAGCCAGCCTGCAGTACAGTGGTTAGGGTGGTACAGGGGTGGGGGGATTCTCTGCTGACTCAAATCCTGGCCTTGGTGGCTTGAAAATACGCACGTGCACGTGCACCCAGGACCCTGAATGGAAAGAGAAACGGAGGAAGGAAACTGGCCCCACTGGGGGACGGGGAGCTTCCTCTCCCTCCCCTGCACAACTGCAGCCTCTGGAGTAACTGGCTTGGGCCAGCCCACCACTCATGTCCGCGTGTCCACCCTGGTGAGCAGGTCACCTGAGAAGGTGACCACAGGGTGTGCTGGCTGGAGGCCCCGCCCAAGCCCCTGCCTTGACCACGTGCCACCCAGGGCTCCATCTGGCTTTCTTCAGGGTCATCGACCAGGTTCCTCCCTGAGTGCGGCCTCTCCCAGGGCCCAGTAATTGGCCTTACTCTGACTGGGCAGGGCGGACCCAGGCTGCCTCAGTGGTGGGTGATCGGCTGCCTGGACCACGCCCGCTCCTGCAGACTGAGCTTCACTTCTGGCCAGGAGACAGGACCAAGCACGGGTGGAGTCACTGTAGATGCTAGACGCCCCCAGATCCGACCTCCCAGGTTTCATAACCGCCACCTGCTCCAATTCCCCACTGGGCACCGCTTTGACCGGGGGGCCTCTCAGGCACGGGGGCCCCACTGCAGCTCTGAGCTCACGCCTGCCCGACTCCCCCCCCAGACTCTTGCCCCACAGCAGAAGTGAGTTAGTCCCAAAGGTCCTGCTCCCTCTCGGGCCTGGGACTGTCACAGCCTCATGGCAGCCTTCACGTTCTCGTTAAAACTCTGCCATTCACTTAGAGTTCCATGGGGAAGAACCGGGAGGGGACGCGATCCGTGCCCCGCTCAGGACAGTCTGTGGACAGCTGAACGAGCTCGGGACACTGCAGGGACCCAGGTCCCCGGGTGGCACCTTAGAGGCACTTCTGCCTGCTGCCTCCTCTCTCCCCCATCCCGGCCAAGCACCACCAGGCAGAGGACTGGATGGGCGGGAAGGGCCGAGCTCTCTAACAGAGCCCAAGCAGGCTCTCCCTGCCCTCTCACTATGTCATTAAAAACATGCCGGAGGGGCCAGCAGGTGGCATGGTGGTTTAGGCCCTGGACTCCCACATGGCTGACCATGGTTCGAGTCCCAGACCTGGCAGCTTGCTTTCTCATTCTCCCCCGCCTGCCTCTCTCGCTCTTGCTCTCTCTGGTCAAATTAAAATAAATGAATGAATGAGTAAATAAATCATTAAAAAAAACCAGAAAAACTTTTTACCAAGAAAGGACATACTCCAGTGAGAGCTGTGAGCTGAGTGCTAGGTGCTGGGCGAAGAGACAACAGAAAGCACAGCGGAACGCAGAGGGCCGGGACGGAGATCAGAGCCCAAGGACACTCCCAGCAGCGGGGCGTGATGCTCTGCTGGCTGTGCCCAGTCCCCCCGGCACACGGTACCCGGCCTGTCCGAGTGCAGCAGAGGCCGTAAGCTGTGCCCCGGGGGCCGCCCCGTGTCTGCCGTGTGCAGTCTTCACACAGTGGGTCTACACTTCCTAAACGGTCTTGGGGGAACGAATGACATGAACACTTCGGTGTCCACGTGGCTTTACTGGGAGACAGCCAGGCGCCAACATCCGTGAGTCTATGGCTGTGTCCACCACGGCAGAGCTGTTCAGGCAGACGCTGTGAGCCCACGCCTAACACGCTGCTCTCTGTGCCTCTGCGGAAACAGTGTGCTGCCTCGGGACAGGAAGCTGGAGACACGCTCAACAGTGGTTTTCTGTCATCCCCCCGGGAGAAGAGCCATTCACTGTATTTGGAGCAGTTGTTATTAGGACGAAATAAATAATAAATATTATCATCGCTGGTGAGTATTTAACTAACCATCCTCTGATTTTAAAAGGTATTGAATTGTTTTCTCTAGAGCTTCATTTCCCCCTTTCACAGCCGCTTCTGAACGATGATCGGAAATCAGACCCTCCGGCTGCACCTGAGATGACTGAGGGTGTGTCTCCATCGGGACACGAGGGAGGGCAGGGTCAGGGCCCGTCTCTGACGCGGGGTGTGCTGACCACGCAGCCCTCTCCCCTCAGCCCTCTGCTTCCACGCCTGTGCCACGCTATTCACCGGCCTCCCACGGCAACAGGCAGCGGGCTCCGTGCACCTCCTGTGCGAGCTCTACCACGTGGTTACAGGACGGGGCAGCTTCCTCCCTCTGCAAAGACCCTTCTCATCCATGGCCTCAAGTGGGCAGGCCGAGGTGATCCGCTTAGCAAACAGAACTACCAGGGGCTGCAAAGGTTTTCTTTTTTGTACATGGTAGTTCTCCCCTGCCAGCTGAGACCGACCTGATCAAACAGCTGCTTCCCCGTGGTATTCGGCTGGATGGCGAACTCCAGCTCCGCATCCATGGTGGTAACTCGGACATTGATCTGAAAAACACAGAACGAAGCCGTTAGCCTTAACTGAGAGCTCTCTTCTGACCACCTCGGGGCCTTGCCCACAAGCGCAAAGCTGCTTCGCCAAGTGGGGTCACGCAGCCTTTCCGCCCGGCTAGTCACGAAACATGCCACAGCTCCAACTGATGACAGTCTCAGCAAGGGCAGAGGCTGGCTCACACGCCCGGCCCCTGTGCTTTAATGAAACAGTCACACATAGGCCTAAGCGGTTCCCGACAAAACATTTCGGTATCTGTCTTTTCCCACGTATCAACTCACCTGTCCCTCGAAACAAGAGAGAGGCAGCCGGGGTCCTGGCACCAGGGCTGGGTTCCCCACCCGGCAGTGAGTGTGGAGAAGGGAAGAGCCATGAACCAGGGGGTCCAGCACACTTACAGGGGAGGGTGTGCCCTGACGGAGGACACGCCCCAGGAGGCAGACGACCACATGGCAAGTTACAAAGGTGACTTGGGACCAGCTCCACGCGCAGCGGGAATGCGCACTGAGGCAGTGAAGGGAGGCCTTCCATGTCGTCCTGCGCTATTTAAACGAGAAGCCGTATCTCACGGTGGTTTTCAAACTCATTGCCTGAGAGAACCCAGATGCGGTCAGGTCACGGAGTATAAAACACTCAAACTGCTTTTGCACCATGCCCTAGAGGAAAATACCAGAGCCACAGCACAACGGTGATGTTCAAAATTAAGAAATGCTGAGGTCAGCAGGTGCCATAGTGGCTAAGGTGCCAGACTCCCTCATGGCTGACCATGGTTCAAGTCCTGGGCCTGGTGGCTTAAAAATCACACTGGGTGCATGTGCATGCATGCCCAAAGTCCCAGGAGGAGAAAGGACTGCGGTGTGACCGTTCCCCCGGGAGGGGTGACTTCTCACTTTCCCTCTGTTTCTCTTTGGTGAGCGCATGTGCCCTATGGCAAAAACCTTAAAAAAAACTTTTTTTAATGTTTGCTTCTCACCATTTCCCGAGTGAAATTTGTGGAAGAGAAACACCTCGCTGGTACCCTTCCTACCCCAGCTACAGAGGAGCTGAGGTCACAGAACCACCGTGCCCAGGCGTGGCCCGGCGGGCTGAGCACCGGCCAGGGCCCTGACACACGGAGCACTCCCCAGAGGCGCTGCTACTCCAGGGGCAGGCTGGTCTCTGCAAATACCCCCTCACATTTAGACTGGGATCGCTGGGACACTGTGCCTCCTGGGGCCTGTGAGGCCTGTCTGTCTGCCGAGACAGGACAGACAAGTAGGGCACCATTTTCTAGGATTCACGAAAAAGTGTTTTTTTCTGCTCCCAAATCCACAAATTAAAGTACTGAAGTTTACTGAGAAGCAAGACTGGACATATTTTGAAAGCTCTAATCATACTGAAATATAAAAATCACAATTTCTTTCCTGCTGGCAATAATTGGTCATTAAAAAAAAAAACAAAAAACAAAAACCACTTCAGGGTTGTTCCAAAGCACAGAGTAAAGCGAGCCTCTCCATCACGGCTGTAAGGCACACACCAGGGAAGGGAAAGCCAGCCTGGAAGTCAGATCCTCCAGTAACAAACACGGCTCCAGGCCGCTCGGCAGTCAAACCCGGGCTGGGTGGGGGCGGAGGCCTCGGGCTCACGTGTCCTCCTC